TAAGCAGATATAATCACTGTGGGCAATCCTTATCAGATAGCTTGAACTCACCAATACTGTGTTCATCCAGAAGTTGCTTTATTCTGTACATGTGAAACAGGATACAGCAGAATGAATGGTTTCCAGTATTATGCGGTCAAAAGATGATACTTTCTGTAGCGTACTATGCAGAATACATGTGTCCCTGTTACATGTGGTCTGTTAGCTGCATCCATGACACAGGAAGTGATGTACTCAAGAAGAAGGGAGGAGCTTCATATACAAAGGAACTGTGTCATAGATCTCAGGGAGGCAACATGAAAAACAAATGCATTACCAAATAAGACCACTGGATGGCAGCATTACTAACTATAGGAATGTCCATAGGAAATGGTACAAAAAATAAACTATATGAATTCTCATGTACATTAACATAAATATTAACTGTGTAACAGCATAAGTAAACATAAGTGGTTATACTATTTAAAATCCAGTAATACACTGTCTCATCCTGCTCTGCACATGCTCAGTTGCTCTATATTTTTAGGCAGTGCGCCAAATTTGTAGAGGCAGATCTCCTTGCAGCCTAAATATTTACTACTGCTCAGGGGCTCTGGGCTTAAGCAAAAAGAAGAAACAGGAACAATGCTGGGGGCAATTTACAGCACCACTGATTTTGGTAACATAATTAAAAAGGAATGTATGTTTCTTGCTAAAAAACATTATTTTTTTTATCAGGTTGTTATGGGTAAAGTTCCGCTTTAACTTCAAAGACATTTTTAGAAACAAAATATAGACATGCAAGGACTACCCTGAATGCAATTGAGTTTAAGTGTGTTTGGTGGATCTGCGCTCACCACATTGCATTCTCTCCCGCACACTGAAAAAGGATTTGGTGGGATTTTAGAATAATGTGATAAGACTGCAGTCCTTTTGAGAAGCACATATACATATACACTGCTCAAAAAAATTAAAGGAACACTTTGAAAACACACTGGATCTCAATGGGGAAAAATATCATGCTGGATATCTATACTGATATGGACTGGGTAATGTGTTAGGAACGTAAGGATGCCCCATCATTTGATGGAAATGAAAATGATCAACCTACAGAGGACTGAATTCAAAGACACCCCAAAAATAAAAATGAAAAAATGATGCAGCAGGCTAGTCCATTTTGCTGAAATTTCTTGTAGCAACTCAAAATGACACTCAATAGTTTGTATGACCCCCACATGCTTGTATGTATGCCTGACAACGTTGGGACATGCTCCTAATGAGATGATGGATGGTGTCCTGGGGTATTTCCTCCCAGATCTGGATCAGGGCATCGCTGAGCTCCTGGACAGTCTGAAGTGCAATCTGGCAGCATCAGATGGACCAGAAGGGTTCTATTGGATTTAGGTCAGGTGAGCGTGGGGGCCATTCAATGGTATCAATTCCTTCATCCTCCAGGAAATGCCTGCATACTCTCGCCACATGAGGCCTGGCATTGGCGTGTACCAGAAGGAACCCAGGACCTACTGCACCAGTGTAGGGTCTGACAATGGGCTCAAGGATTTCATTCCAATACCTAATGGCAGTCAGGGTGCCATTATCTAGCCTGTAGCGGTCTGTGTGTCCCCCCATGGATATGCCTGCCCAGACAACTGACCCACCACCAAAACGGTCATGCTGAACGATGTTAAAGGCAGAATAGCATTCACCATGGTTTCTCCAGACCCTTTCACGTCTGTCACATGTGCTCAGGGTGAAGCTGCTCTCATCTGTGAAAAGCACAGGGCGCCAGTGGTGGACCTGCCAATTCTGGTGTTCAATGGCAAATGCCAATCGAGCTCTGTTGTTTTCGGGCAGTGAGCACAGGGCCCACTAGAAGACGTTGGGCCCTTAGGTCACCCTCATGAAGTCTGTTTTTGATTGTTTGGTCAGAGACATTCACACTAGTGGCCTGCTGGAGGTCATTTTGTACTGCTAAGGCAGTGCTCATGTTGTTCCTCCTTGCACAAAGGAGCAGATACTGGTCCTGCTGATGGGTTAAGGACCTTCTCCGGCCCTGTCCAGCTCTCCTAGAGTAACTGCCTGTCTCCTGGATTCTCCTCCATGCTCTTGAGACTTTGCTGGGAGACACAGCAAACCTTCTGGCAATGGCACGTATTGATGTGCCATCCTGGAGGAGTTGGACTGCCTGTGCAACCTCTGTAAGGTCCAGGTATCGCTTCATGCTACAAGTAGTGACACTGACCCTAGCCAAATGCAAAACTAGTGAAAAACAGAAAAGATGAGTAGGGAAAAAATGTCAGTGGCCTCCACCTGTAAAACCATTCCTGTTTTGGGGGGTCATCTCATTGTTGCCCATCTAGTGCACCTGTTGTTAATTTCATTAGCACCAAAGCAGCTGAAACTGATTAACGACCCCCTCTGCTACTTAACTGACCAGATCAATATCCCAGGAGTTTAATTGACTTGAGGCTATACTCTGATTAAGTGTCCCTTTAATTTTTGTGAGCAGTGCAGTTGAGCTGAATTTTATTGTAAAGTAGTAGGTAATAGGTAAAAGATAATACAATCAAGCCCAGAACTGGTTGCAGACGTCAAGATTTTGGTGTGCCTAGATAAGAAAAAAAAAAAGGTTGACAATATGATGATCATGATCAATTGGTATAATAGGTGATTGAATGATGAATCTGCACCATAATTAGACTGCTCTTGCAAAAAAAATGCCCTGTAGAGATGATTTTTTTCCGTGACCAAAAGACATAGCCATTTTAATGTCTAGTAGTAGTTGGTCACATTTCATTTGACTGGACTAGTTTGTCTAAGCCTTGATCTGAGATAAAAAGTATAACAATCTTGTCATATTTTAGCTTTTTTTTTTTTTTTTTTTTTTTTTTTTACCAAGACATTGACATGTTTTGTTTCCGAGTTCCCAGTTGCCCAGGTTTACAGAAACTCTCAAGTATACCCCACCCAGTTTAAACATACTACCCACCCATTGTTTTTTATTGCAAACTTGCAGCACAGGTTTTGTGCAGAATTTCAAATATTCAGAATTTTCAAGACTAGCGTTAGGAAAAAAGTTTATTTAAAACCTGCTGGGTACCAAATACGTAGTTAAGTGTAATGACGTGTATGTCACCTTTTGTTTCACTGGATGTGTTTTTTTTTTTTCCAATTTACACTTTTTTTTATGCCATGAAATATAGCTTTTGCTATTCATTCAGAGCCCCCTTAGGAGACTTTTGACTCTTTTATACTCAAGTCACACTGTCTGCCCTTCCTCTCCATTTGTCCATGCACAGAAAGCCTTGTATTCTGTAAACCACTTACAGAATACAAAGCATTAAGTGGTTGGATGGGCACAGAGGAGGGGATGAGAAACAGAATAGACAGAATAGCAACATAAAATTCAAAAGAAATGCATGTCTAACAAATTAATCCGATTGAAAATCTGTAAAGGGAGCTGAAAGTTCGAGTTGCCAAACATCAGCCACCAAACCTTAATGACTTGGAGAGGATCTGCCAAGAGGAATGGGCCAAAATCCCTCCTGAGATGTGTGCAAACCTGGTGGCCAACTACAGGAAACGTCTGACCTCTGTGATTGCCAACAAGGGATTTGCCACCAAGTACTAAGTCATGTTTTGTGAAGAGGATCAAATACGTATTTCCCTCATGAACATGCAAATCAGTGCATCATTTGTTAGACATGCTGGCTGAGGGAAGGAGGTTCTCACCCAAGATTTGACGGTACATTGCCCCGTCCATTGTCCCTTTGATGCGGTGCAGTTATCCTGTCCCCTTAGCAGAAAAACACCCCCAAAGCAGAATGTTTCCACCACCATGTTTGACAGTTGGGATGGTGTTTTAGGGGTCATAGGCAGCATTCCTCCTCCTCCAAACACAGCGAGTTGAGTTGATGCCAAAGAGCTCGATTTTGGTCTCCTCTGACCACAACACTTTCAACCAGTCCTCCTCTGCATCATTCAGATGTTCAGTGGCAAACTTCAGACAGGCCTGGACATGTGTTTTCTTGAGCAGAGGGACCTTGTGGGCACTGCAGGATTTCAATCCTTGTCGGCGTAGTGTGTTACCAATTGTTTTCTTAGTGACTGTGATCCCAGCTGCCTGGAGATCATTGACAAGATCCTCACGTGTAGTTCTGGGATGATTACTCACTGTTCTCCTGATTGACTTTCCACGAGGTGAGATCTTGCATGGTGCACCAGACCTAGGGAGACTGACAGTTGTTTTGTGTTTCTTCCATTTGCGAATGATTGTACCAACTGTTGCCACCTTCTCACCAAGCTGCTTGGCGATAGTTTGGTAGCCCAGTCCAGCCTTGTGTAGGTCTACAATCTTGTCCCTGACATCCTTGGACAGCTCTTTGGTCTTTGCCATGGTGGAGAGTTTGAAATCTGATTGTTTGATTGCTCCTGTAGACAGGTGTCTTTCATACAGGTAACAAAATGAGATTAGCAGCACTCCCTTTAAGAGACTGCTTCTAATCTGATCGATTTTTAGACTGATCATTTCTTTGTGAGTGGGCAAACATTCAAAATCAGCAGGGGGATCAAATACTTATTTCCTTCACTGTATATATATATATATATATATATACACACACACACACACACACACACACACACACATATACAGTGCTCAGCATAAATGAGTACACACCAACAGATTTGTCAGAAAACCTTTACTTTTGTTTCAGAATCGACATTTTCTATGGGACACTATACTACAAAATACTCCCACACAAATGTGGGCCATTGATTGCAAACAAGATTTGTTAATTTGCACGCTCAAAAAAGTATTTTTCCTAACAAATTCATTCAAGACCATGTTGCAAAAATGAATACACCCCAATGAAAGTCTGGAGGAGCAAAGCTAAATTTTAGATAACAAAATCCTAATTAACAAGAATTCAACTACAGGTGAGACTAATTATTCATTAAACAGGTGTCCACAGAGAGTTGATTATAAAGGGCGTTACTTAAGAAAGAAAACCCCTTCACATTTCATGCTGTCAGCAATGGCACCACATGGAAGAGAAATGTCACAAGGCCTGAGAAAGAAAATAATTTCTTTACAAAAGAAAGGTGAAGGCCTCCCCGTTTCTGTCCCTATGTCCAAACTTCACTCCCTTCAGAAATCTTTCCTGCATTTTATTTGGCACAACAAGCGGCATAGAATTGCACGTTCTGTTTTGCTCTCCCTGCATTCTAGGGGGGCTTGGGGGACCGGATATAGTAACCTACTACTATGCAACTCACCTTCGTTTTCTCATGTCATGGTCCACTCATTATCCTCCCAACACATGGACTGAGATTGAATCTTTGCAGCTTTCTCCGGCCCATCCTTGCTCCCTCCTTTGGTCGACCTCAGCAGTGGATGTCTCTTCCTTTTGCCACCTATTCCTTGGTCCCATGCACTTTTATCTGACTGTTTGGCAGAAATGTAAGGCTAAATCTACACTGGTCTCTGACTGTTCCCCACTGACAAATACCCTCTATAACACTAATCTCCCAGACAATATGGCTGTGTCCCGGATGTCTCCTTGGGTTGCAGCCAACCTTTTCTAACTGTGTCACATGGTACACCCGGTGACTCGGAAATTACATTCATTGTCAGATCTCCAGAAAAAAGCTCTTCTACCATCCCAACACTTATATATTTACCTTCAAATACGCCACTTCTTTTCTACCTTGTCACCCTCATTGATCCTGGGGAAGCCTACTCCCTTTGAACGTTTATGTATACAGGGTCCACACCAAAGGGGTATTATTTCTAACACATATAAACATCTTATGGATGCCCTCTCCTTATCCAATGACACTCACCTTTACATGCGTAAGTGGTCTCATTTCTTACAATGTGACATTGATTTGTTAATGTGAAAGAAAATTTGGGAAAAACGCACCTAGATCTTCTGTCTGTGTGGTCTTTAAGGAAAATACATACAAGATCATGATGTTGTGGTACAAAATGCCTGAAGTTCTTCACGCTTGCAACCCGAGTGCTTTTCCTGCCTGCTGGCGATGTGGTAAAGACCTTGGTTCTCTCTACCATATTTTTTGGACATGCAGTTCCATTACTCACTTTTGGGAAGATGTTTTTTCCTTGTTACAAACGCTATTGCATACCTCTCTCCCATTTGAACCACTATATTTTTTGCTAAGTCTACCATTCCCGGGACTATCTAAATCATCCAGGAAACTTTCTGTACATGTCCTGACCATGGCTAGGAGAAGCATTCCTATGTGTTGGCTATCCTCTACTCCCCCTTCAATGCCGATCTTATACAAAATGATTGCTGATGTAAGACAGATGGAGTATTTGACTGCCCTACATAGTTGTTCGCTTGCTGTGTTTGAGGCAGTATGGTGCCCATGGGATACCTTCATTTCTTCTTTACCAGCTCAAAATGTAAGGTCCTAATACCCTCTTCTGTTATTTTATGACATTGCTTGTCCTGAACCTATGCAGTTTTACTATCGATGTACCTTTCGGTTATGTTTCCTTTTTTTTTCTTTTTCAAACATACTGTTTGAATATTTACACGAAAACCAATAAAAATTGTTAATACAAAAAAAAGAAAGGTAAAGGCTACAAGAAGATCAGCAAAGCTTTACTTATCAGTCAGAATACTGTAGCAAAAGTGATACAAAAAATTAACAAAGATGGAACTGTAAGCATCTCACAGAGATATCCAGGCCTTGACAGGAGTGTCTTCTGATGAGAAGGGTTGAAGAAAATCGTCATGCAAGTTCACTCTGCATTTAACTAAAGAAGTAGAACGCCAAACTGGGGTTATTGTGTCCTGTGGCACAATACGGCATACAATGCAGATGAAAGGCATGCATGGGTGTCATCCATGAAGGAAGCCTCTCCTAAAGCTACTACTGGGATTCTATACTCTGGATTGATGTGACCAAGATACTTGTTTTTGGAACTGATGGCTTCAAAAATGTATGGTGTGGCAAAGGTGTGGAGTAGATAGAAAAATGCATGGTGTCTACAGTGAAAAAAAAAGTGGTGGCAGCATCCTTCTGTGGGGCTGCATGAGTGCTGCTGGAGTTGGGGAGCTACATTTCATTGATGGTATCATGAATTCACAGATGTACTGCTCTAAAATCGAAAGAGAAGATGCTACCATCACTCCGTGCCCTTGGTCGTTGTGCACTTTTTCAGCATGACATTGATCCAAAACACACATCAAAAGCAACTGTTGCATTTCTAAAGAAGAACAGGGTGAAAGTGATTCAGTGGCCAAGTATATCTCCTGATCTTAACCCAATCGAACACCTATGGGGAATTATGAAGAGACAAGTTGAGCATCACTCTCCATCCAGCATCAAGGCTCTAAAAGAGGTCGTTCTTAAGGAATTCCGATGTTGCAATATGTCGCCAACTTGTTCATTCCATGCCTAGAAGACTTGGTGCTGTCCTTACAAATTATGGAGGTCATACAAAATACTAGATGTAGTAGTTTTTGGTGTGGGGTGTTCATTTTTGCATCAATTAATTTAAGTTAAACTGAAGATTTTGCAATCTAAGTTATATTATTAACCTTACTTTCATGTAATGAGCTAAACAAATGTTCTAAAAAACTCAGTTTTGTCGGAGTGCGCATGCACGGAATCTCCGGTCCATGCATGTCCGCCTGAGGCTCCGTTGCATAGTGAGAGAAGCAGCATCTCTGACACTGCTCCCTGTCCACCCATGGTACACAAACCCCTCTTCTTCATAAACTGCACCCAGGGAACCTGTTAAGATGGTCCGGGGAGCCGCAAAACACCAGCCCCAGGCAAAACCAATTAAGGAAGCCCTGGCTCGGGCCTCATCCAAAATGGCCACCGGCTCCACAGCACAGACACACTCTCTCTCCTTTGCAGCCCTGCATCCGGATCCTGCACAAAGCATATCTGATGGTGAGTCTGACAATGACTTGGGGACACCACGCTCATGCCCTACTCCTGACCCTGCACAACATGACCTTCTCAAGCAATTTGAGAAAATGCTGCACAGGGCCCTAAAACAGACCTCAGACCATATAACGGGCAAACTATCTAAAGAAATCCATGAACTGGGAGTCCGTACATCTGAGCTAGAACATAGGGTGGACAACCTAGATGCCGCTGTACACACACAGTCAGACGAATTTGAGGCAATACATGATGAAAACCTAACTCTCCAATCCCGCTTGGAGGACTTTGAAAACAGAGCCCGCCTCTTCAACATTCGTATGTGCGCCCTCCCCCTGAAACCATTACTGATGTCCTCTCTATGGTCACTGCCTTTTTCCAATAACTGACACCTACCATCCTGATTGAACCCCTTGAACTGGACAGGTTACACTGCTCCCTAGCTCCACGCAGACCAGACAGCCCATCCCGCGATATAAATTTCACTATTTCCACACCAAAGAACAAATACTCCAGGCGGCCCGCAACACTGGAACCCTAACCTTCCAAGGGCACACATACCAATTATTTCAAGGCCTGTGTCCCGCCACCATTGCCAAAGCAGGGCCATGCAACCCCATCTGCAGCTTCTGCAACAACATGGTATAGCATACCGCTGGAACTTTCCTTTTGCTGTCCGCTTCTCCTACCAAACCCGTGACTACATCTGCAGATCCCCAGAGGAGCTACTCGACACACTCCGCCACCTTCAGCTCCAACCTCCCCTGGTCACTCCTGAAGGATCACACAGAAGATCTGCTTCTTGTTCACCCAAGAAAACCCACCTTACAACATCGGCAGCTGGTCAACTCAGCACCCAACTAGCACGGATGCTTCTTATCTCCGGCTCCTGCCTTTCAAGATTCAATGAAATGAAGTCCTTTCCGGTTGCTTCCACCTTCTCAAGCCCTATCTTGGACCAAGTCGGCACCCGGGACTTGAACACCCTGCCTCTCAATTTCCTCACGTCTCTGCCGATCCCTAATTCCACAGAGAACAATCTAGGAGGACCCCAGTTCTGGCCCTAAATCCCAGGGTGGCCCCTCTCACAAGCACCCTCCTGCAGCCTGGCGCTCCCGGCCTTTTTCCCAAGTTATTCAGCTCATCCTGACCTTCTCGAGCGTCCCCCCCGGACTTCCCTACTCTGATGGTCCCCCGGTCCGATTGTCCTCCTATCCCCACCGAGGCCTTCTCTTGACTTTATGTCTTTACTGTTTGCACCTGCTGTCGGTCAGGTCATGTTGTTTCCCAACATACTGCTAACCTTATTGAGTTGTCTCCCACCTGGTAATGTTGTTACTGCCTTTCTTAGGTTACTTAACCTTGTTTGTTTAGTTCATTGGAGCCCGTTTTAGTTGATGGGCAGTCCTGAACTCGCCATCACTCATCTTATCACTTTAACTTTGCACTACCTTTTCTATATTCGGTGTACCTTTCTCAGGTGGTGTCGAGCTCTTGGACTCCCCCCCCCTGCTACACAGGGAGCTTTGGATGCCGGTTACCTCCACTGGTGTCCGCAAGTTTGACTTTTTACTTGGGTTGTTTTCTCCCGTTTGCTACTGCGCACTCACTACCTGCCCATGTGGTGCGAGCTTTCCATACTGCTCGGCTGTTTCTGACCCCCCGGACTGATCGTCCTGATCTTGTCCTGGGGGCCAGACAATTGTTACTGGTTGTTCTTCTTCCCCTTTACCTGCTACCTCTTGTTTTCTTCTCCTTGTGTGACCTCCCTCCCTTACCTTTCTTTCTCTTTTCCCTGCCCCTTCCCCCTGGGACCGCTCCTTCAGTGCTCAATTTCGAACCCACTTTATTCTCACAGTCTCTTTGCTTCCACCATGGGACCCCTAAGCGTTCTCACCCCTGAACGTTCAGGGCCTCAATGTCCCCCAAAAACGTAACAAGGCATTCTGCTTTTTTGTGTCCCAAAAGGAGCATATCATCTGCCTGCAAGAAACGCATTTTACACCCACTTCCACACCTACATTTTTCAGCCCCCTCTCTCCACAAATCTTTACCACCTCCGCGAAAACCAAATGTAGAGGAGTTCTCATCGCTTTCCATCGCACGGTCCCTTTTGTACTTCATGCCCAAATTGGAGATCCAGAAGGACGCTACCTCATGCTGTCAGGACTTCTGCTAGATTTTCCTGTCACAATCGTCTCATACTATGCTCCAAACCAAGGTCCCCTTCCGTTCCTATCTCACTTGCTGACTACTATTGACCACCACAAACACGGCACCTTGCTAATCTGCGGAGCTTCTAACCACACTATATACCCTTTCTCGATAAATCCCCCCAACCGCCCCTCCCCCTGGCCACTACACTTTCCAAAAATGTCTAAATCGCCATTCCTTAGTAGATTCCTGGAGAGAACTCCACCCAGTAAAATGCAGATACACCTACTACTCCCACCCACACAAAACATTCTCACGTATTGACCATATTCTGACGACCGTCAGCACTTCTTCCAGACTTCTCGCCTCAGACATCCTCCCTATACCATGGTCAGATCACTGCAGTGTTCTTACAACTCTCTCCTCCCTGTCCCCCCCAGCTTCTGATCGTTCCTGGGTTATCAACGATAATCTGCTATCATAGCCTTGACCTTGAGATCGCCCTCAAAGACTACCTGGAGTTGAACTCCACCCCAGATATTTCCCCTCTGCTGTGGGAAGCACATAAGCAGGTCCTTAGAGGGGTCTGTATTAGTAAGTCGTCCTTCCTTAACAGAGAAAAGCAGCAAACACAACTTCGCCTTGAGGCGGCGTACAATCAGTCCCATCAACTGTTCCAGACCAACCCTTCCCCTCTCCACCGCAAAGCATTAGAACAATCCTGTTTGGAACTCCACCTCTTCCTGACGGACCAAGCTGAGCTTTCCCTTCGCAGATCCCGCCACAAATATTACACCAAAGCGAACAAACCCGATACATTACTAGCTCTCTCACTCCGTAAATTAGACCATATCACCAAACCCATTCGCCTAAAACTTTCCCACGGTAACTATACTAGTAACCCCACGTGAATACTGCATATCTTCCACAAGAGCCTAGCTTTATTATATTCCCAGACAGAGCCTTTCAAACAATCTTATGCAGAGAATCTCTTTGCCCACCTCTCTTTCCCGACCCTGACCGTACAGCATCTAGAAGCTCTTGAGAAGCCGATCACACCATCCAAAACCTTGTCCGCTATCAAAGACTTAAAGACCAGAAAGCGTCACTGGACATTAAAAAAAGCTTTCAACACTGTCTCATGGTCCTTTCTCGACTCTGTTCTGCACCGCTGGAGCTTTGGTCCCCACTTCCTGACATGGAACTTTTCCTTGTACTGCAACCCTTCAGCTCATGTCCAGTACATGGGACACAAATCAGCTCCTTTCCCGATAGCCCAGGGTACTCGCCAAGGTTGCCTGCTATCACTAATCCTCTTCTCCTTAGCAATCGAACCCCTGGCCCTTTTGATTAGAGGAGACTTAGATATACGGGGCCTTGAAGTTGGAGGGTCACACCACAAATTTTGCCTTTTTGCAGACGACGTACTTCTCTTTATGACTTTGCCACTTACCTCTACCCCAACCCTACTTCGGCTTCTACATGATTATGGCCTTATCTCCGGTCTTCACGTTAACCCTCAAAAGTCTATGGTTCTGAATATCTCCCTCTCCCCTCAAGAGAACTTGCATCTACAACAGGTTCTCCCCTCTTCATGGTCCCACTACGCTATCCCATATCTAGGCATCAAGCTGATGGCCTCCTTACCAAACCTATACTCTGCTAATTACCTACCAATGCTCACTTATCTTACTGGCCTAATGCGCCACTGGTCTTCTCTTCCACTGGCGTGGATGGGAAGAATCACAGTGGTCAAAATGTCTATTTTGCCTAAAATACTATATCTCTTTATAGTTCTG